GTCAGGACACACCGCGTACCTTGCTCTTTGAGGTCAGGACCAGGGCCCTGTGCCTGGCCAGAGGGAGGTGTTTCCAGCAACTTGGTAAGTTAAGGCTGGGTGTCCTGCGCAGCGGGGGATGGGGAGGGGTGGCCACCAGACTCCAGCTCCACTGTTCAGTGAAGGGCTGGGAGGGCCAAGTGTCCCCAGGGAGATTCAGGTCCACCCTCAGCGTCTGCTGGATCCTTGGGCCGAGCAGTGGAGGGACTTGATGGCCTGGCGGCTGTGGGGACTGGCCTCCCCCCAGTCTCTTTGCCCGGTGGCCTTCCTGGGAGAATTCCTGTCCAAGGACGCAAGGCCCGCGGTAGGGCGGGGTGGAGCGCAGCCGCGGGTTACGGGGAAAGTCCAGAATAGGCAAATCCAGAGAGACAGAAAGCGGGCAGTGGGGGCGTGACTGCACAGGGCTTCTTTTAGAGGCATGAGAATATTCTGGACTGAGGCAGAGGTGACAGCTGGACGACCTGTGAGTGGACCGAAAGCCCTGAACCGTCAGCGGTCAGACTCTGGCGCGGGTCGGGGATGACTTGGGGGGGGGGTGCTTTCCTGCTGGCCGCTAGACCGTGTGAGGACAGCGCCAGGTGGACCCTGCTGTCCTGTGAACCCCAGGTGCAAACATCCGAACGCTCTGCGTTTCCTGGGAGGGTCTGAGCAGGCCTGTGAGCATTCCGCCACAGGAGATCAGCAGCCGGGCGCGGGGGACCCCACGTCTGAAGAACATCCAGGATGGAAACAGGCACTTAAGGAAACGTCTCTGGGGGGAGGGTGTAGCTCAGTGGTGGAGCACATGCTTAGCGTGCACGGAGTCCTGGGTTCAATCCCCAGTGCCCCCGTTAAATAAATACACAAATAAACCTAATTACCTGCCCCCCAAATAAAAGACCTGCTGTCACTTGTAAGAAATTTCAGGAGGAACTGTGCTGAGAACGCAGCTCAGAGGCGGTGCTGGTGAGGGTGTGAGGCGTCGGCCAGGGTGCCCAGATTCTCCTCGATGGTGGAGCAGAAGGGCACCACCCTCCTGTGCCCAGACCCTCCGCACCCGCGGGGGTTCTGCCCTCAGGGGACACGGGGTCATGTCTGGGGGGCTTCTGGCATCCAGTAGGTGGGGCCAGGGATGCTGCGTCACCCCCAGCAGCGCCCCCCCAGAGGATGACCGGCCCCCTTTGTCAGCAAGTTTTTTGTTGGGTTTGTCTGACCCTGCAGCATGGACTCTTCCCTTAAAATCTGGGCTCTTCTTGTAAGTCAACCTTACTTCAGTTAAGAAAAAAACAAAACAAAAAAACCTGGGCTCTTCTCCCCGGGCAGAGGTACTCTTTCAGGAGGCTTAGTCTGTTTCCGACGGCTGAGGGCTATTTAACCTTTGGCTATTAACTTCTAGTTTTGCTGCTGTCGCCTAAGTCCTGACAGCTGATCTTCTTTTTTGTTTTCTTTTTCATAAGGTGAGGGCCTGACTTACTGACTTCAAAGAGGGCATCACGGACCAACAGCTTGCCGGCTCCTGGCAACGTAAGGATCCGGGCTGTCTCCACACGGAGGCTGCCTGGTGTTACAGGTCTTGGCTGGTTTCAGTAACTGACCAATTTGTACTGCTTGTGTTTTCCCTTCCCACCCTTTAAAGTTCTGCTGTCTGTTTTCAATTCACCAATAGAGTGAGCCCGTGAAACAAATGGGGGCCCCCGCCCTCAGGCCCGTGAGCTCCTGCCCCTGCAGGGCCCTGCAAGCGGGCCCAGGAGTGCCCCGTGAGTCCGGGTCCCGGGACCGGCACGCTGTCTTTTAAGGGCCCTGCTGGTTATGGCTGCAGGTTGTCCTGCAGTCACAGTGAGCAGCACAGGGCCGGTCCTGCCGCAACTGACTTGCTGTTGGGAGGCTGCGACCGGCACGCAACTGCCTTCGGATTAGAGGCGATGGCCTGTGCTGTTTTGGGTGTTGTTTTCTGTTTTTTTTTTTGAAATTTGACATTTTTCATGTAGTTGAATATACCATCGGTTAAATAAGGAAATCAATGTTCACAAATGCTTTTCTGGTAGTCTGGCCAAAACCGAGGCTCTCTGGTTGTTGAGTGAGAAATTCAAAAAAAAATGGCCAGTAAATAACCTTTAATGGATTGCATATATAACATATTATTTTACTTTTAATTATATTAAATTAATATGTATATTTTTAAACATTCTATTTCTTTTTAAAAAATATTTAATGGAGGTACTGGGGATTGAACCCAGGACCTCGTGCATGCTAAGCTACACCCTCCCCCTAAATTCATATATTAATTTTGTAAGTGAATTATATGATATAAAATAATCTTAATAAAAGTATCCATCATTTTATAATTAATATATAAATAAACATATATTAATGTATCAGTATATTAATGTATTTTCTTAGCTGGCAAGAGAAGTAACTTTAAATGTTTATTAAATCATTTCAATGTTTTCTGAAATTTATATCTCATTTAATGTATTTCCACACATCAAGTTTTCTAATATATGTTCCCTATAGATAATAGATGTCCCCTATAAATTAACCAAGAAAACTTGATCAAAATAAGTACACTCTTTCCCATGTGTGTTATCGCAATGCCTGCTTTCTCATGACTGGATTGCCTGATCCCCTCTGAACCATGCTGTGCCTTTTTTAAAAAGCGCTTTATTGGGACAGAAGTCACATGCCATGAGATTCTCCCATTGAAAGTGCAGGGCTCAGGGGGTTAGTAGCTGCGGAGTTCGGCCAGCACCACCCCTGTCTAAGTGTGTGTGGAGGGAAGACGGTGTCAGGGCAGTGGTTCTACTCCTCTGCGAAGTCCTCAGATTTTACCAGGACAAGGGAATCAACCTCCATGTCAGGAACTGGACAACTTTTCCTCTGGAGGCCCGAGAGTGGCTGTTTTCAGCTTCTCTGTCCCGCTGGCTCTGCTTCACCTTGGGCTGCAGATGGTCTGTACCTGGGCCGGCAGAGCTGGGTGCCAGTAAAACTTTTTCATAAAACCAGGGAGGGACTCCATTTAGCCAAGCCCTACCCATGACTGCTGCCTTGGTTTTCTGTGAGCTAATCTTGTGTGATGCTTTAAAATATTCACCCCATAAAAATGCAAATAAATAAACCATATTACCTCCCCCTCCTCCCAAAAAAGAATTAAAAATTAAAAAAAAAATTTTAAAATGTCCATCCCTGCTGTTTTCTGTATGTTCCACCTTCCGCAGCGGCTGCTTTCCCCGCCTTTGTCCCGCCAGTTAATCTAAAAGGATGCATATTAGCTTACATTTCACCAGCAGTTAACTACGTATGTATATTCACTTCGTGAGCTTAGTTTTGCCAGTTATCATCATCTGTGGACTAGCAGCTACTGATTCTGGCCATACAAGATGACTACATGCAATTAACGTCACCTGCAAATGTGGTGCTCAATTGAGAAATGGCAGGAGAATCAACCTCAAATTCACAAAAGCAGCCAGTTATGAAATCAGTTCCAAACTCAAGAGGGCACTTAAAGTAACTCTGAAGTTCGTCTGCAATTATACTCGGGATAGTCAGGAATATATATATATACTTTAAGATAAGAAACTCATATTGCCAGATGCTGAAATCACTCTAACTTCAGAAGGTACATTAAAACTGGAGGCTGGGATAGGCAAACTCCCAGAAAAGCCAGAAACAGACCCCTGTGTAAATCAGCAGCATTTCCGATCTGTGCAGAGGGGTCATATGGCTGGAGGAGGCGATTCACTGATTATTTAAAAAAGGCAAATTTCTGTAGAGCCTTACCTCACACCACACGTGGAAATTGAACTCTCTAGTTTATCTGGTGTTTAACATTGGAAAAAAAGGAAAAAGGGGGTGTAGAGGTGTAGCTCAGTGGTAGAGCGTCTGCTTAGCTTGCACGAGGTCCTGGGTTCAATCTCCAGCATCTCCATTTAAAAAGAAAATGGAGAATCTGAAGAAACCAGAGGTTTTCATATTTACATAAAGGCCTTCCCCAGCCCAAGTTTCTAAGCTCATCAGCAGGGGTAGAAAGACTGACCAAAAATATGAAAGTTCAAGAGTAAGGGAAAAGTATGCCAAAATGATCGTAAACCAAGTTAAAGGCAAACGAGAAACCAGGAGAAGTTTGTGTAACACACATGACAGATTACATACAGGCAAGCTTTTATAGATAAGTATGTGAAAAACATTTACAAGCTGATATGTAAAGGTGTTTGTAAGCCAGTAAGGAAAGGACCACTTCCCAGGGGAGAAGTGGACAAAGCATAGGAGCTGGTAATTTAACTAACTGGTCAACAGTGACTTACTTGTAACAAGGATGGTCCCGTCAGGCTGAGAAAGGACTCAAGGCCCAATACCCAGGGCTGAGAGGAAGATGGAAACTAGGAAACAGGCTTTTTCTTTTTGGTGTGGGGAAGTAATCAGGTTTATTTATTTAGTTTTGGAGGAGGTACTGGGGATTGAACCCAGGACCTTCTGTATGCTACGCATGTGCTCTACCGCTGAGCTGCACCGTCCCCGAGGAGACGTGCTGATGCAAGTGTAAGTTGGTTTGCCCTTTCTGCAGGGCAACACACAGCGCATCAGAAGCCCCCTGCAATGCGATTTCCCTCCGACACCAGTCTTGGCAGTCACCTGCGTCAGTACTTAAGGATGTGAATGAATGCTCAGCTGGAGGGACGCGTATCGTAGCTGTGAAACAATGAACAACCGGGCGAACCGGGCGGGGCTTCGCTGCGTTAGGGGACACCCCTCGAAGCATGAGCTCAGCAGAGACACAGGCGTATCTGAGGTTCTCAAACCCTCCCTCTGTGCCCCCAGGGCCAGCTCCCCGCCTCTGCGTTGGGTGGTCAAGGCGGGACCAGCTATCAGACGCTGGAGTGGAGAGCATGGGTCTAGGACCATGCCTGCTCCAGGCCGGAAGCCTCTAGCGCAGACGGCTCGGATCTTCTCAGATGGTCCTGCTGGTGGTTGTCGACTTACTGGATGAACATCTCTTACGGGCCCCCCGGAGGCTGCCTCCAGGCTGTCCTGCCCTTCTTTGTCAGGCCTATTGGGATGAGGCAAGTCCGCGGTCATTCCTGAGTGGCAGCCCCTCCCGTGTTGGCCAGGACCAGCGGGTTTTGTCCGAGCAACCTAGCTGCTTCCTTCTACCACCCGGCCAGCCTTCCAGACGCCAGCTCCTGCCCCCATTACCTCTTCTGGTTGGACACATTTTGGGATGCACCATCCTGTAAGGATGAGCGAGTCTCAGGCCCGTGGAGGGAGGAGTTGCTCAGAAGTCGGCCTGCCTAATTCTTGCATTCCAGGCAGCCCAAGTCAGCGGGTCGCAGGCATTCTGCGTACAAAACATTTCCTTCTGAAGAGTGTATGAGTTTCCTGTGGCTGCTGTAGTAAGTCACCACAAACGCTGTGACTTAAATAATACACATTTATTCCCTTAAAGTTCTGGAGCTCACAAGTCCAAAATGGGTTTCACGGAGCTCAATTTCAGGTGTGGGCGGGGCTGGTCCCTCCGGAAGCTCCAGGGAGGAGCGGCCCCTGCCTCTTCCAGCTTCTAGAGGCGCCGCATCCCTGGCTCGCGGCCCCTCCCTCCATCCTCACCGCCAGCAGCGCAGCATCCCCCGTCTCTGACTGACCTCCCGCCTCCCTCTGATGAGGACCCTGTGATGGCACAGGGTCCCCCTGGGGAATCCAGGGTCATCCCCATCCCGGGGCCTTAACCCCACCTGCAGAGTCCCCTCTACCTGGTGAGGTGACATGTCCTCAGGTCCTGGGATCAGGATGTGAACGTCTTCAGGGGCTGTTGTTCCAAATAACAGTAACAGCTCCTCAGATTTTAAACTGGTCCTGGAAATCTTTGTGGTGCACTTGCAAAATCAAAGGGTAAGGAAACTGGCTTCTTTGGAAGGTATTTCCAAGTAACAGAGAATTCATGCTGGAGATACTCTCCCTCCGACGGGGATGGCGCGCCCTCTAGGGGCAGGAAGCCACACGCTGGGCTGGAGGCCACCCACCAGGCACAGGCCCCAACCAGCCTTGCAAAGGACCTTCCGTCTACAGCCGACCTCCTGCTCTGCCGCTAAGTTTTCTGTTTGAAAGGGGCCCCTGAGAGTGACTGATCCCATCTCTCACACGTAAGAAAAAGTTCTGAGGTGAAGTCATCACAGACCAAGGTCGCAGGCCAGCGAGGACAGGGCTGAGACAGAAGCCACCCCTGTCTGTTCCCTCTCATTCTGTTCTGCACACGGTTCAGTTTCCTGGAAACTTTTTTTTTATGTAACAGAGGCAGACAGAATCACACGTGTTCAGTGCTGAAGGCAAGACAAGACACAGCTGGAGCGCGGAGGGAGGTGGGTGCCTCTCCACCTGCTCTCCACTCGCCTGTCTTCGCCGTCCCGCCCTGCACTCCAGGAAATTCTCGCCCCACCCACACTGCACGCACGGTTATCTACTGGGCGGGCCACCAGCCATGGTGACGTCTAAGATTTCCTCGCCCCTGGGGACGATGGCACCCTGGTGACAGTGGTGACATGTCCCAATGCCAGGCCCTCCCGCCAGAAATACAGAAATAAGCAGCAACTGCAGGTCAGGAGACAGTACAGTTTATTCTGCTGATCGTGTGGGAGCACACTGGGGTGGGGGGGGCAGGGGACCCTCTGTCCTCCTGTCCCTCCTCCTTCCCCCACCTGGCCGGTGACCTGGAGGGCACAGTGGTTATGGCACTTGGTCATAGCTCTGCATTTAAAAGGAGCTACATTCGATCAGCCGATCAGCTGGCTTCCTGAAGTCCTTCAGGGCCGCCTCCGAGGCCTCTGAGAGCCGGACTCCAGCGGCTTCTGAAGGGACAGAGGCCCGGGTCGCGTTAATTGCACTTGATCTGTGCTGGTGTTGGGTGGTGGCGGTGACCCCCTCAATGCGAGCATCCCAGACACCCGGGGGTACTCAGAGTCTGTGTGGCCTGAGGCAGAGGCCGCCCAGGATGCCTTTGGCAGGGCTGGGGTGGGGGCTGGGCGTGGCTTCTGTGGCCACCGCAGTGCGGTCCCACCTCCCAAGGCTCTGCGGGGAGATGGTGTGGGGTTTTGGTCCTGTAGCCACAGGGGTGCCGCACCCCAGAGGGCTTCAACGTGAAGTTGGCGGGCACGTGAAAAGGCCAGTTCTAGCGAAACATTCGGTGAAACTCAAAGGTCCCAATCCTGGAGGAGAGGCGTTCCATGGAGTCATCCTGTCGTTTGTGACAGAAAGGGGACATTTTTCCAGGGAGGGGCGCTCACTGTTTGTAGGTAAAACACGCTCCCCTCCCCTGTAACATCTCATGGCAGTGGTAAATGCAGCCAAGGATTCAACCCTTCACGGGACACGAAGGGGCCACAGGGACGTGGGATGCGGGCGTGGGCTCCAGAAGCCGGCAGACGCGCCGAGCCTCTGGGAGGAAGCGGGGAATGGAAGCGAGCTGGGGAGGCTGCGGGGAGGACGGGACCTGGCCGCTGGGAACCGGACTCGGGGCCAGGGCGGGATCACCTATCCCAGCCTCAACGGTCAGGCCCCAGGGCCCCAGGGCCCCAGACCGAGCGGGCTGCTGAGGAGACAGGCCCCAGGTGGGCAGCCCGAGGCCCGGCCACAGCTCCAGCCTCGAGGCAGATGCAAGTGGTTTACAAGCGAAGTGGGTTCTCCTGGTCGCTCACAATGCACAGAGTCGCAGAGTTCAAGTTCAACCTCCCCCGAGGCAGCAGAGGAGGCAGGCTCAGGGAGGCCGGGTGCCACGGCGTGGGGCTCCACGGCTGCTGCCACCTTGGAATCGAAGCAAGGACACAACCCCAGCGGCAGAGCTCGCTGGATCAGAACACATGGGTCCTGGTTCCGGAGATACAGCCCCAGAGTCGGAGTGTCCCCCAGGTGCGGCACTGGTGACAGCAGGGCCGCGGGCTCTCAGTGGCACATCCGTGCGGTCATTTCTTTCTGTTAAGAACAATCAGCACAGCAGATACCCACGTCAGGAAACCACAGGCAAGAGGGAGACCAGGGGACATGGTCTCAAGGGGCCCACGGGCCTCATCTAACGGAAACCTCACAGAGAACGGGACAGCCGGCAGCGTGCCAAAGGCCAGGGCGGCAGGGTCTGGCTCCAGGAAGGGCTCTGAGCACCAAGGGGGGAGAAGAGGGGTGTGCCACCGAGGTGAAAAAAGTAAGTGAGTGGTCACAACATGTGTAGTACCTGCTGAGCTGAGAGTCCCATAAAGCGAGCCGGGTAAAGCGGCGCCCACTCCACAGCTGTCCCAACCCCCACTTCTATCTAGTTCCAGAACATTCCTTGACCCCAGCATAAAACCCCTTCCCCACTCGGCATGTGCACTAGAACTTTAACTCTGGAAACTCGTTAACTGATAGGCAGGGCCTGTGAGGGAACACACAGAAGTGAAACAGTCACACGAAGGTGTTTTGAGAAGTTTCTGAAGGGGGCGCAGAGTTCGACTCTCAGTCTCCCTGTCCCAGGGGGCCCCGGGTCATTCCAGCACTTCCGACCTGGGGAAATGCCCAGGGAGGGGGCATGGAGGTGCTCCCAACCACTGTGATCACCCTGGGGGTGTTCTCCACCCTGGTGAATGGTGGCTGCAGCTGGTGGGCACTGGGAGAGCAGCCACCTGTGTCCTGTGACTCGCAGGTCCTGCTCAAAGCCACTGGGGACCGCCGTGGCACAGCCCGGCTCCACGTCACAGCCCAGGTGACCTGAACTATCCCAGCACCAGGGTGGGGTCAACAGTGGCCAAAGCAGCAAATCCCCCGAGACAGAGCAGATTAGTGATTGCAGGGGCTAGGGTGACAGCTGATGGGGGTGGGGCTGCTTCTGGGGGATGGAAGGTTCTGGAACTTGTCAGAGGTGGTGGCTGCACAGTCTGTGAATGGTCTGAACACTAATGAGTTGTTCACCTCACAACAACTGATTCTACATTATGTAAACTTTACCTCAACTAAAACCAGAGCGGGTAGGGAATAGCTCAAATGGCAGAACATGTGCTTAGCATGCATGAGGTCCTGGGTTCAATCCCCAGTGCCTCCTCTGAAAATAAATAAATCTCCTTATCTCCTCCCACACACACAATTTTTAAAAATTAAACAAACAGAAAAGCCTCCCGTGCAAGGGCGGGCAGGGCAGGAGGGCGAGGCGGTGGGGGTGGGGGCTCCAGGGAAAGCGGGGGCAGCTGCAGGCAGGAGCCCCGCGAGGCCGCGGCTGGGGAGACCCCCCAGGACCGGGGTCTGGTGTCACCGGGGGCGCCCCCAGCAGGGGTGGGGACAGGAGGAACCCAGCTCACCAGCGGCTCCAGCTCCTTGGTGTCAATGAGGCCGAACTCGGTGACGAAGTAGTAGAAGTGCTTGTAGCAGGTGTTGACGTGGGCCTCGGAGCCGAGCTGCGCGATGCGGTCGAAGTGGTGGATGTAGACGTGCACGAACACGCGGAAGAGCCGGGACAGGATCTTCCTCACCACCTGCAGGAAGTTCCTGGGGAACGGCGTGCCTGGGCGGGCGGCAGGGCGGCTCAGCGGGG